AAAAAAGCGTCGCAACAAAGTGTGGGTGTAGGGATGAATATAAATGCTGGTATCTTGCTCATCTATATCCACAGTGATACTTGCACATAAAGCGATAATTATAGCCACAGGCACGTCCACACCTACACGTACACCCTTTTTTTTCAACCCAAATCTTGCATATTTAGTCGGATAGAGCTCGTCGCGCTTATCACGAATATCATGCTTTTATTAAGGGTGTGGGTGTGATTGCGGGTATGCTTTCTTTCGCCACAAGCACAGCAGGTGCCATGCGGTGTGCATATGTTCGCATGTGTCCGTCATTTGGCGGCCACAACAGCAGGTGCCTTGTTCTGTATATGTGCGTTCGCATGTTTCCGGCGTTTCGCCGCTCCCTAAGTAGATGCTATATGCTGTGTGTAAGTGTGTTTGCGTATGTTCGTCGCTTCGCCGCACCCTGAGCATATGCAATGTCCTTTCTGTTGATGTTCATATGAGCCCATCCTTGTGCGGGCCTCACAGCTGATGCCATGTGGTGCGTGTATTCTGTCGTTTGTGTTCGACTTTTCACCGCCCTTCAGCAGGTCGCTTATGGTATGGATGTGTGCGAATATGTTCGTCATTTCGATGCGCCAGCAGCAGATGCCTTGTGGTGTGTCTGAGTGTGTGCTCGCATTTGTCCATAGTTTCGCCTACCCGCAGCAGGTGTCATGTGCTATGTGTGTTCGCTTATTGATGGATCTCATGTGTCATTGTTTCTGCTATGTATCCAATTTGTAAATACCTACTATATATCCTATATATTCTTTATGCAGTATTTCTCTCGTATTGCCGATAACTCGTGAATATTCTATCTGTCTTTTGCTAGTATTAAGTTGAGTTTCGGAGGATACTCATAGAAGACATCGTATACCTTTCGGTGTCATTGTGAGACAACTTCGTCGAGAGAGATGCCTTATTTATGTGTCAGCTTATCGCTCAGCATTTGGTCCGTGAAAAGTACATCGGTTTGTGAATCTTTTTTTGTAACATCATGTGATTTTCGGAAATTCAATTGTGTTCCGGAAGTCCATCTGATTTCCCAGAAATTCAGTTGATTTTCGGAAATCGATATTATTTCCGGAAATTCAGTCAGTTGCTGATAAGTCATTCATACTCCTGGAGACTCGTATAAGGTACCATGTGCTATAGTTTGAGTCGCGATCATTTCTCATTATGTCTTTGGTTAGGACCAGACACCGCAACGAATAAGAGAACCTTCATTCGGTTTCGATTCGAATCGGCAAAGCCGCTGGGATTTTCCTTTAGGATTTTATTCGTCCCACATTATTACAGAAAAAATATGTTAATGTTCTCGCACATGTTACTCACTACTTATGTTTTAGTGCTTTTAGCTGAACAAGCAACTTATTTTTCTGTTTTCCGGTGCTAGTCACCATTTCTATATTTGATCTATTCATAGATACTCAGCGATCGTGTATACCTCGAGTGCAATGATATAACTGACGCTTGAGAGAGAGGAATGTCACGCACTGAGTGCCTCTTTTAGAATGGGACGGGTGAAAACTGATTGCTGCGAAGATTAGCCGAGAAACTTTATATTAAAAGGATAACAGCTTGTTTCAGTAAAAAAGCTTTATTTAAAAGAAACAAGTTACACAGGGCACACGAAATAATAAACAGAGATCACTCAGTAATCTAGATATTATTACAAATATCCTTTTTTCTGATATAAGTGTATTGGTAAAAATTAAAATATCTATATATTAGAAAACTTATCATCCGAAAAAATTCTTATGAGGTTGTAAATAAACAGTCATCGAAAAAATGCTGAATCTATCAAGCAATATTTAAATTCTATTATACACCTGCGCCATTTGATGACACATTTGCAACTAACACTTCTGTTTGCAGCAATTAGACGGATTTGATTATCACTTCTACACTGTTTTTCTTTTCTTTTGTATTCGTGTAATTTATTTGAGTCAGTTATCAGTTTCATGTAACATTATCAAGTCAATTCAATTAGTGTCAATCAAAAATTTAAACCTTAAAGTTCGAATCTGTGCTCTTTGGTTCCGATTGTTCGGCTATTTTTCGCAGCAAACAATTTTCGATCGGTCATTTTTGGTTTAGTCACATTCAACTGTTGCTCAATCACTGCGCAAACAGGATAATGAAAACTGACGTTGAGAAAAAGACTGAGAAATGGTAATTACCATTTTATCTTACAAATTGGAATAGGATACATTTCAATTTCTTCTGTTTTTGATTTTTTTTCCAATGAGTTTGTGATTCAGAGACAAAACTAAATAAAGGCATCTGCATTCAACTTGATTCTGCTCGACAATATCTGTAGTCAATAGGACTCTATTTGATCTATTCTCTCACAAATTCAATTGGAAATCGATTCGCTGGAACTTAAGCGATTTTCCATTTGTCTCGATCCAACCGACGTTTCAAATATTGAATTCGGATTCGATTCGGTTTCGATCTCTAATTAGGACATCATTAACGTTCCTTGATCTCCTGGACGCTCTTCTATCTTCTTCAGTTGTTACTATGCTTCCACTATTCATTGTTTGAAACACAATTGTTTATGAGTGTTGACATATTTAGCAAAAAAAGTAAATATTGCATTCTGTTCAACCTTGTCAACAGACATTGATACTTATGCCAACACTTTAGTGACTCTATCACAGATTGTTGCAGGCATTGTGGCTGCTGACTTTCACATCACGTCATAGAATATGACAGACAAAGTGATAACTTTCGTTCAGAATTGAGGTGACTGCAACACAATTTCTTTGTTAACGCCAGAGGAATTTCACTGAAGGTTTTCTGTTGGGTTCAAAAGACGCAAAAAATAGTAAGAAATACTTTAGTGAAAAAGAATAATAGGACTCTGCAATACATAAGAAATATAAAAAATGGAAAGGAGTACACAGTGGTTAAAATGTTTTCGGATGCAGAATTAGGAATATGTTTAAGTACAAGTCGGATAACTATTCAGCAAGAAAATTATTTAAGTAATGGTTGTTCCATAGTAGGGTCATCAAGTAATGACCGTCTACCTGATGCGTATGCACTTGTAAGTAATGAAAAAATTGCAAGAATATGAGCTGTTTGATATAAATTTGCTGAGTAGCCATTATAAAGGATTGTTTTTGAACCTTCAGCTAATGCTGCTAACATTGTTATTGTTCCAATAAATAAACACAGTGGTCCGAAACCAAGATTCATATCTCGATAGCGTATGTCTTTAATATTTGATGAACCATCGAATGGACTTATGGCAATCATATATGTCCCAACTGTACCAAAAAAAATAAATAAAATACCGACAATAGCTAAACCAGATGCTAGTCTCAAATGAATGTAGGAATCAGTTGAATATTTGGAATTCGTACACGTTGCGTTACTTGCACTGCACGAATAGTAAAAATTGGTACTTCCTGATGGTATTGTATTAGTGGGTGCGTCACTGTATGTAACTTGCCACGAAGGTGTACCAACACCAATGCATGCAAGAATGAGTGCGATACTACTGAGAACAACAGCGATGTATGCAGGCAGTTTAATATCTCTAGGATCAACAGCCATTTGTCTTTGAATGAAAATTCTAAAATAGTCACTGACACTTATAATATTTGCCATGAAGAGAAACTTGATTTGTTTCACTACAGATCTTTCAGAATGAAAAGCTTTCAGCTGTGAATGCCGCTGTGTTAGGTGTCTGTCAGTAGCAAAATTCAAGAAAATTGTCCGATTTCCTAAGTTTGTCTCGTCCTTTGAATATGATACAATGTCAGTAGAGCAAACATTGAGCAGACGACTAATAGAAGGCTCTGATCTCGAAGGCAAGTTCTCTAGGGTCGCTTCGTCTGCTTTGTTCCTGAAATCTCATTTGTTTTCTATTTTATAGTGAGATATTCATTCTTTTAGCATGCGATTCTTAAAATGAGCGACTGGTTCACAAATGCTTTAGTTGAGATCCTTCCTGTGTTCACATTTTATACTCGACAATTCAAATTTCTGGTTTTGTGCAAGACTCAATCCAAGCGAGCGAAGATGTTGTAAACGATACAAAAAAATAATCTAAAAAAACATTATTTCAATAAACAACTGGCTCACAATTGTCTTTAGTTAAAATCAGTCCTGATTCAAATGTCACCGAACATTGTCATGATTGTAGAGTAGTGTCACATATCCAAGATTTTGGAGATGCCACCACATCTCCCGCGAGAGATGCTGCGTCTTTCGCTGGAGATGCGGCACCCACACTCGAGAGATGTGGTCATTCACCACTGGAGATGTAAGATCTCCTTTAGAGGTGCGCATCCCCCACACCCACACCCGCATCTCTCGCACCAGATGCGGCATCTCCCGCGGGAGACGTGGTGGCATCTCCAAAATCTTGGATATGTGACACTGCTGAGTCTGACCGTTGCAGTCCTAGCCAAAGGCGTTCCAAACCGAGAAATTCAAATCTGTGGCAGGTTCACAGAAAAGGTTGAACTACAAGGTTTTAAAAAATCCCTCATAACGTCGACACGTTCGACACTAACCAGCTTTCATCGAAGTTTGTAAAGGAACATTATTTCAACAGTATAGGTCATTCCTCATCGAAAAACTGAACTCACAAATTTCTGTTACCAAACTCTTAACATTGTATGGGTAATTAACAAAAATCTAGCGGTACACTGGTGTAACGGTGTACGGTGCTTCGCCACCTTTGCACTTTTAATGAAAAGGACAAACTAGCTGCCATGATTTTATTGCCTAGACGGGCCCAAAAGATAAAAGCAATTTGAACCCAAAACTTTTTTATCACCTGCAGAAGTTTCCAGGCAAGAGCGCTTTCACCAACTAAACAGTGTTTCTTCTTTTCGAAATTGAAATGTGTTGCATGTCTGAGAGAAGGATCTTTTAAACATGATATTTCCTTCAAAAACTATCATTATCAGAATAACTATAACGCACAAATGCCGTCCATTACGACAAGAGAAAAGAATTCCTTTAGAAAAAATGTGGCTTTTACATTACAACAACAAGCGAAAAATATCCATGTTAAAACACATACCTGTGCTTGCAACACTGTTGTTAGTTTTTATTCTGTACTCATTTTTCACCACTTTATATACATCAACAGTTTGATTCTGTTCTGTGTATTCTTTTTTGTATTATTCATATTTAATTGATATTTCTAAATTATTTGTCGCCAAGAAACAATTCATAGCAAAGAACGAGAGAGAGAATGTCAACAGAAAATTTTCTCGTGTCCTTCTATTACAATAGACGATACCTGCTTCTCCATACATATTTGGTAGCAGAGCATCGATGATGGTTTTGAAACCATGCTCTAGAGCGCATTAGTAGTGGTTCATCGTAACATTTAACATCCACCAAACTTGATTACACATGCGATTCAACAATTAGTTTTATATCTTGAGTTGGATCAGATGGAAATAGAATGCATTTTATGATCTCTTTTCTAATATTCGAAGAGTACTGTTTCGACACTTCTTCCGATCTCAGTAGCAGAAAAAAACAATTAGAAAACAGTTCAGAGACACATAGAACACGCCACAAAAGAATCTTGATAATACACTCGCTCACACTGTTACAGGTGTTTCGACAACATTTCAGTGGCATATGGACTGTTTATGAAGCTGAAACTCAATCATTCGTGAAAAGTTGCCGTTTCTTCTCTCTGCTTGTTGAGCAATCGGATCCAAGCGGTCCAATGAGATCTTCTCTTCCAATGATACTCTGCGCTAACTGTTAATTTGTGTTGCTAAAGAGAAAGAACGATCTTGTTTTATCCTATTTCCCTAAGTAAGACACTATAATATCATGAAAACAAAGATAAGAGAAGTTTCGTTTCACTAATGCTTGCAAACAACTACATTATATAAATATATTGTAGCTCATGAATACGAAAACTTACAAGCACAATGTATGATCTGTTGTCTTTATGAATGGCTCGACCGTTTCATAATTTTCATGATCGATCGAAATTGACACTGAACGATCATACTGAAATCAGAAGGAAAAAAGAGGATACAGTTCATGATTGAAACTATCATTGTTGGAAATAAAGCTTAATCGTTTTAGCAAAAGAGTCGAGTTGATATTATTCTCATCGAAAAAGCATGAGAAAGCCGCTGCATCATATAAAGCTACAAGACTATCCAATGCTTTCGTAGTTATTTTTGTCAATTCAAACTTGTTGTCTTTGAATCACTTCGACTCACACATCTACTTGCTTCTAATTTCCTGTAAATGTTTGAAATTGAAAAGTTGCCAAGGTCATTTTTTCTGCTATTACGTTTGAAAATTTGATTCACACAGAAATGAATATAAACAAGACTCAATTTTCAATGAAGATTGAATTTATGCGTTGTTCTTGAACAACTTCGATGTTTGCAATTCAATATGAATTGAAGTAACACGCAGTAGTGGAAGTCATTTTCATTTTTATAAATAGATTTATGTTAACCGAAACATATTTTGAAGCTTATCCCTAAGAGAATCATAACATATGAAACTCAGAGAAGGAATAGATGACTCTGTCTCCTTTCAGTCACTTCAAAAACAATCGTTAAATGTGGCTTGAATAAGAATGATCAATAACTTGAAGACAAACTAGGTTTCAATATGGCGTGACAAAGAACCATCAATAGTTCTACAACAAGGTGAGAATCTCATTGAAAATAAGTTTTTATATTGTTGCCAAAATTTTGTATTCGTTGGACTGTATGAAATACAAAATTTCCCTTGTGAATCATGTAGATATGATGGACAAAGAATTTACAATAGATGAAAGAGTATCTATCTATTGACATGCCATGTGGTGATCTGATTTCTTACTTACACTATTCTCATTTGCAATTTTTGCTGACTCATATTCGATTTCATGAAAATAATAGCTCGGAAGCAGATCACTTTTGATTAGTTTTTATTGTTGTCATTTTCACTTTTGACAAAATGATTTTATCTGCTGCAAAACCTTCAGTTCGATATCAGTTCCCTACGACTTGACGATCAGACCTTGATAAGTTCATTGGATTAGAACAACCAATAAGTTATCAGAACCTATTCTTGTCGTCGAACAATGATTCTATGTAAATCATTTTTCAAGGTTATTCAAACATTCTTTTTACATACGTTTTTTCCATAAACAAGCAATATAGGAATGAGAATCGAACTTGTTAATTCTGTCTCCAGGTGAAAAAGTACAATTCTTTTTCACCCACTTTCATGCCACTATTGTCAACAATCACAAACAAATGAAAGGTTTCAATTCATTTTCTATTTTACTTTTATTATTCACACTTGCCTGGATGCCCTAAAAATACTTGTTGTGTGAATGAAAGTTGTTGCTGAGAAACACTAATAGTGGTTATGCTTATTCATCGCTCGACATAATACCTTGTATTTTAAGCTCAGTGTGAAGCTCATGATTGTAGTTACTCATAAACAATACATAACATCGGTTTCGCTCAACTATGAATTCTGTCATCAAACAAAGAGTCCGAAAATTTAAATTTAGGATTAGAAATCCAATCGTTTTGATTTTCAGACATATTCTGATATTCTAATATTTTGAACTGCTAACAACACCTTCGTAATAGTATGAGCGAGCATTTGTGAAGATTGTCTGTTACACGTTCTATGTATCTTTGAAATATATCTCGATCAATTTTTTTTTTGATACTGAGATCGGAAGACATCTCAAAACAATTCTCGTCGAATTTTAGAAAACATATTATTAAATGTATTCTATTCCGATCAGATACAAAGTTAAGTCATAAAACTAATTGTTGAGTCGAATATGCAATCATGTTAGATGTATGTTGCAGGTTACGATGAACCATTACCAGTGCATTAGAGAATAATTTCAAAACAATCATCGATCCTCTGCTACCAAACATGCAGGCGTAGGCATCGTCTTTTACGATAGATGGACACGAAAAGATTTTCTGTTGACATTCTCTCTCTCGTTCTTTGCTATGAATTGTTTCTTGGCGACAAATAATTTAGAAGTATCAATTAAGTATGAATAATACAGAACGAAATACACAGAACAGAATCAAACTGTTGATGTATATAAAGTGGTGAAAAGTGAGTACAGAATAAAAACTAACAACAGTGTTGCAAGCACAGGTATGTGTTTTAACATGGATATTTTTCGCTAGCTGTTGTATGTGAAATCTGCTGTCTGTTGAACAAATTTCTGATGCCATAAACTATGTCAAACATCCATATTTTTGGAATGATCCTGCTTGAGTGATCAAAAGTTTTCTTGAAAGAATGCGAAGAAGAGAGTAAGATAGAAATAGGTGGTACTGTTATAAACTTTTCCTGAGCATAACAAGGACACCTCGGCAACCAGGAAATTGCCTGAGGCGGCTCTATTCTAGCGTTATTGTGGTTAGTGGTCGGCAGTTACCGTTCCCAGACCGTTACCCGGTAACGGTAACGGTTCACACGGAAGAAGTTACCAGTTACCTGGGTAACGGTAACGGTTCCGTTACCCCGTTCTCGGGTAACTGGTAACTGGCCGTTACCGGTTCCCGGGTAACTGGAAACGGTTCCGT